TCTGATACCAGGCGACTCCCGCCATGTCTCGACTTGTACTCATGATAGATGAACATTCTTTTCACCGAAAGCAAGACAAATGAACGAGCTTTAAAATGATACTAATAGCTTCATAATTTGTCCTAAAATGACGAGCGCATGATTCCACCGCGTCGTGACACATTTCATTGATATACACTGACAGAAATTTGCTGTGGCATGGTAAATACACACTCGTACACTGACATGTGAACAGACACACACTCACCCACACAAGCACACACGCACGCGCGCAGACACACACATACTCACACACACATTCACATACACACACACGCACACACACACGCGCGCTCACACACACACAAGCACACAAACTCACACACTGACATACGCACTCGAATACACACACACACACACACATACACACACACATACACACGCACAAACACACTTACATACTTACATACACATACTCATGTACACACGCACAGTTTGTTATTCTTTCATCAGGAATTAAGTGCAATGAAGAATATTATTTAAGAAAGTGAAATTTGTTCACTTTGAAAATTGGATGTTTGAATTAAACCATTGATGTGATGAGTTTGATTTATGTGTCCTCTTTCGAAGAATGGTGCGAACTGTTTTGTGTTTTGTTTTGTGCGCGCGTGCCGTGTGTGTGTGTGTGTGTGTGTGTGTGTGTATGTGTGTGTGTGTGTGTGTGTGTGTGTGTATGTGTGTGTGTGTGTGTGTGTGTGTGTGTGTGTGTGTGCGTATGGAGAGGGCAAGGAGTGGGGGCGGGGGTGGGGGAAGGGGGCCGAGATGAGATCAGATTCTTATCAGCGTTGCTACAACATACGTTAGTGTTGCACCTGGCGACGTCCTTTGTGTCTTTTAACTATAATGTCGAGAATCAGATCATACTTCTTCATAGAGGTGGGCAAAATCCGGATAAATATCCGGATAATAGGATAATCCTCAATAAGATATTATCCGAATTCAGACTCTTAACTCTCTTTTTTCCGGACCCGTTTGCCGAAGTGGGTGCACCCATTTGTTGAAATGATGCTACCCGCTTGTCGAAGTGGTTCTAACCAAATTTGCCGAAGCGGTTCATATCATATTATTTGCCGAAGAGGTACATTAAGATAGTATCCGGATTTTGCTAAAGCGACTCATTGCCCAGCCCTACTTCTTCACCGTATTTCAAGTAAGGAAGTCGACTCCCACAATATTAAATTAAAATTTTCTGAATCTTTACCCTTTACTACCAGGCCTGTAATTAAGTAACGGAGTAAAAGCACATTTCTGTGCTTATTTCCATTTTTGTTTGATTATAAGAGTTTGGTTATTTATTCTGCTGTCCCCTCTCAGCCAACAATAACAGCAAACACTCCCTCTCGACCCTGCAGTGCAATGTAAGCGACAGCGAGCTGACGTGGCGGAGACGACCCTTCCTACTCTCAAATTCTTTTCTAACCCCTCCCCCCCCCCCTCTGAACGCTTTGTATCGGATGATAAAGAAGATGATGAGGCATTGGGCTTCTATTTATAAAATGATAATTCGCTTCAACACATTATTAGCCTATTTTATTATAGTCCAAGAGGTAGTCTCGGTCATGGAAGTGAAAATGTTAGACTGAGGAACTGAATATCGTGTTTTCCCCCTTCTTTTTCAAAGGAAAATATACCTACGGTTATGCTTCATCTATTTTAAAGAAATAAAAGCAGAAATGTGGCGGTTTTTTTCGTTTTGACAAACGATTTGTACGTGCATATTGTAGTTTTTCCAGGACCGTAGAAATAGAGGAAGTTGATTCTTCTGGCACAACTACTGTCTCTCTAGATTTTGACTTTCTATGATCCAAAAGTAAAAAAAATGGTCAGTCGTTTTCGGTATTTATCTTTGTCGAGATTTAAAAAAAAACAATTGATAAAAAAAACATTACAACTGATAACAACAAATAACAACTGATAACAGCAAATAACAACCGAAAACAACAAAATAATAAATATCAACACAAACGTCTTAATTTAGTTGTTTTTTCCGAAAATTGTTACTTTCGATTTTACTTTCGATTTTTAATGAAAACCAAAAAAAAGGGACGCAACTCGGGTCATCACTAAAGAATATTCTACTTCTGGTAGTTGCTCAGAGTTATGAATTTTGATTTTTGAGGCTGGAATCAAATCATTTTTGTGTTATCAGTTTTTATTTGTTGTTATCCGTAGTTATCAGTTGTTATTTGTTGTGATCACGTCAAAGATAAATACAAATAACAACTGATTACCTAAAAAAACAAGTAAAAGTAACTAAATTAGGACGTATGTGTTGATACTTGTCGTTATTTTATTGTCATAAGTTGTTATCAGTTGTTATTTGTTTTTATCAGTCTGATAACAACTATTAACAACTGGCTACCTTAAAAACCAAGTAAAAGTAACCAAATTAGGACGTTTGTGTTGATATTTGTCGTTATTTTGTTGTTATCAGTTGTTAATTTTTTGTTATCAGTTGTTATTTGTTGTTATCTCGACAAAGATATACACTGAAATCGATAGTAACAATTTATCGGGGAAAAAACCCCTAAATTAGGACGTTTGTGTTGATATATTTGTTGTTATTTTGTTGTTGTCTGTTGCTATTTGCTGTTATCAGTTGTTATTTGTTGTTATCAGTTGTTATCTGTTGTTATCATTTGTTATTTGTTGTTATCGCGACAAAGATAAATACCCGTCGTTTTGGATCTGGAAAGTGTAAAGGCTTTCATACTTTTCTTGCAGGAAAGCCTAAACAGATTGATGACGTGGAAAGATCAGGATGATAAACAATATAGATCTAGCTCCGAGCAGAGTGGGCCATAAGCTGACAAAACGCGTTCTTTTTTTTTTTTTTTTGGCTCCACATTTTTTATTGATTATTAATTGCTAAATCGAAAGCCTGATCAGTTTCCCTACTTGTGTGAAAAAAAAGTCAAAGTGAAACTGACCACTTTTATTTTGAATAATTTAGAATTCAAATTTCGGAAGAACGCCGTTTTAAGAAACAAAAATGGTTACGCTTAGAAAAAGCGTCTTTATCTCGAAACTACGGTAAAATAATTTGTTTTAAAGGCGTTTTGTCAGCTTACGGCAGAAAATGACGATCCTTGATCGACGATGTCTATTGCTGATCTGGCACTCGATGAGTACATTTAAAAGAAAAGGAAAAGAGTATAATCATGTTCAACATTTCGCTACGTTAGCTTTACAAAGTTCTATAAGATAGTTTTGGCCGTTTTGAGTTGCCATGACCATGTTCTGCCTGCTCTGTCAAAATCGCAAGATTGTTGGAAGTTGTGGTAAAAAAAATCACAAAATTTCATTTGGAAAAGCTAGACATGTTGTGGAACTCAAAATTCTTGACATCAAATTTCTCAAAACTAGGAAGTGAGTAGAATAAAAAATGTGTAATTTGAAGGTAGCGATTTGTTTCAATGGAGTGCACACGGCCGTGTGTGGGCGGAAGTCGTTCGATTTACTTCCCGCTTGATTGTCAGCTGTGCCCCCTCCCCTCTCATGACCGCATTCCTTTTGGAGATAATAAAACAAAACAAAAACAAAAAGTAACATAACAACACCCAAGAACGTCTGGAAGGTTACCCCGATTGGCTTAAAAAGAAAACAACAACAGCGACAACAACAACAACATATAACAACAACAACAACAACAACAACAACAGCAACAAAAACAACAACAACAACAACATAATAATAATAATAATAATAATAATAATAATAATAACAACAACAACACCAACAACAACAACAACAGCAACAAAAACAACAACAACAACAGCGACAAGAACAACAACAACAACAACGACGACGACAAGAACAACAACAATAACAACAACAACAATAATAATAATAATAATAATAATAATAATAAATAATACTGATAATAATATCCTTAAAAGTAACCAATAGTATGCTGATGGTTATGATGTAATAATAATAGTAAGTATTATGATGATAACAATAATAATAATAACAAAAATAATAATAACAATAGTGATAATAATAGTGATAATAATGCTGATAATAATGATAATAATTATGAGAAGAAGAAGAAGAAGAAGAAGAAGAAGAAGAAGAAGAAGAAGAAGAAGAAGAAGAAGAAGAAGAAGAGAAGAAGAAGGAGGAAGAGAGGAGGAGGAGGAGGAGGAGGAGGAGGAGGAGGAGGAGGAGGAGGAGGAGGAGGAGGAGGAGGAGGAGCAGCAGCAGCAGCAGCAGCAGCAGCAGCTTCTTCTTCTTCTTCTTCTTCTTCTTCTTCTTCTTCTTCTTCTTCTTCTTCTTCTTCTTCTTCTTCTTCTTCTTCTTCTTCTTCTTCTTCTTCTTCTTCTTCTTCTTCTTCTTCTTCTTCTTCTTCTTAACAATTTTCACATTCTCCAAATTCTTCAAATTTTCTTCTTTCTCTTCTCCTTGTTCTTCTCGTTCTTGTTCTTCTCGTTCTTGTTCTTGTTCTCGTTCTTGTTCTTGTTTTTGTTCTTGTTCTTGTTCTTGTTTTCTTCTTCTTCTCGTCATACCGTCAGAGCACCGGCATCTGTGGTGTGGTGGACAGTCGTTTCGTTGTTCCACTCGGGAGACCCGAGTTTGATTCCCGTGGGAGTCGTTCGACTGGAATGTTGTATCACTCTCAGCCCGGATTGACCCTGAGAGGCAGAGTCAAAACTCGCGTTCAAGATAGATCTAGTCCAAGTTGTGTTATTGGGGACGTAAAACATCTACTTTAAAAAAGGAGAAAATGCCGCCCTACTGCAACTCCCGACGTCGACAGTGACTGTCACCCCCAAATTTTTTTTATAGATAGTGTACCAATGACAAGAAAGAGAATAATGTAATACATGTATTATTATAACTGCGATGACGTTATGCACAATAGACCCTCATTTAAGTATTCAATCTGTCCTCGACTACGAAAGTGTACTTAATTATCTTTCATTTATCTCTCACCTACGCCCCACCCCACCCACCCACAGGTTGCACACAACATGGATGACTTGACGGTTGGGTTTGTTGCAATGGCGATGTTCTTCATGGTCGTTGGCGTTATGTCCACTTCCTACTGGCTGTACAAGAGCAGACTCTCACCGGACAGGGAACGAGGCAAGCGTTACTTGAGGAATCTGGAGCATTTTGAGAGGCTGCATTCGAAACCCTTAACGATTCACGTAGTATAACTCTCGAAGGACAAGTTGAAGAACAAGTTCAACTTTGAAACAAACATCAACATATTATTAAGTCTCTATTGCAACTTGGTTAAGTGATTACGTTTACGGGAATCGTTCCCTCTTCTGTGAATCGTACACAAGATATTCAAGATATTGAGAACATGAATCAACTTGTGGACAAGCTATAAGCGAGATATTTAAGATATTGTACAAGCCAACATAGCCATGTTGCATCGAAGACACAGCAGGTGATCATTGGACAGGTTAAGAGCATACAGAAGACTTCCCGGAAAGTGCTTATCGCGGCATCGCGGTGAAATCAGGTGCTCGTCAAAGTACTGAACTCGAAGAAACAGACATGTTTTCTGTTGGGCAACTTGTATCGACTCTCTGGATGGAAAGCGGGGAGGGGGGGGGGTCAACTTCTTTTATGTCCTCTCTGATTTAATTTACCTTAAAAAAGATTGATAAAATACAGGAATAAATGTAAACTTCCTGTTTTCAAAGACGCTCAAGCTTTGGAAGTCAACAAATCTGGGCGCAATGTTCTCGGTAACTTTACCTCAGACACCAGATGTCTCTAATCTCCCTCTGTCATACATATTTCGACTTTTGTCCAATATAAATGGGCATTTTTCATCAAAAGCGAAACAAATGAACGAGCTTTAAGATTATATCAAGATTATATCAACAACTCCATAATAACCCCCCCCAACAAACAAACAAACAAACAAACAAACAAACAAACAAACAAACAAACAAACAAAAAACCAGACGAGTGCCCGATTCAAGGGTGCCGTGACATAAAGTATTTATATGGGGAAGTTGAAGAGGGACTTCCTGGATCAGAACGAACTTCTAAAACTCCAAATGACTTCTTTCTACTAAGCCAGCGCCTTATTGTGCTTTATTATTATGCTGACAGAGCGAGGCGCTCGACGGTGCTATTTCTCTTTTACGCTCTTCACAGCTAGACGTTCTCTATAATTAATATTAATACTTCCAAAGTGTCCTAAAACAGTTGTGCAGTGGCGGTGAGGCTGCCAAGAATTTTTCATTCAATTATTTATATTTCTTAAAAGACAGTGGTGGCTTTCCATTACAAAATCAATCATATTTCTTGTTTCTTATTGTCATGAAAAAGTACCCACTTGTACTTACAGAACTCTGTATAGCTTCCAACTTCTTGAGCTAGAAAGCTGGCGTTGCAACTTCCTAATACCAGAATGGCTGGAAAATAATAAAATTAATGTGATTGTCACTTGCTCGGTTTGTTCAAAAACTGTTCTCATTATTATTTTGTTTGTAGATTAGACTTGAATTTGAAATTCAAAACTGTTTTTGATTTTTTATTAATTAGTTTGAGAAATTTCTACACATTTTTTCTGTCTACCCATATTTTATCTGCAATAATATTTACACTCAATAATTTCATTATTTTATGTTTCGCAATACATCTTGTGTGAGAATCAATGTCATGTCTTGAAGAGCAGGCAACAAGGCGTGATCTGATGGTACAAACAAAAACTGTCAGAATACATAAATTGCAGTCTGGAAACGTTATAAATTATTACAAGAATGTTGATTTAACTTTAAGTTAACTTTCTTGTCAATGAAAAATCTTCAAGTTCAAGGCTGAACTAAGTCACTTTTGTAGTACGTGCACTTGTATTTAGTTTGTATAAGAAAAAGTCTTATCTGCTTTGGAGTTCACTACGTGAACACCAGCATTGTCATAATGTGTTATTATATAAATAGTTCCTATTTTGTCATACTGTGTAAAAATAGCTCCTTTCACAGTGACGTCACTCGGGGTGAACCTCAGGAGTGTGTGTCCTTGGAAAATGAGAAGCTAATTATAGTGTGTCTTCTCTGGTATTACAATCGAATTTTAAGACTTTTGCTGAGGTGTACTCAGGATATTATGTGCCTGATTCTGTGTGTGGTTTTGAAGATTATGAATATGTGGGTGAGTGCACCTGTGTATGTATGGGCGTGTGTGTGCGTGTGTGTGCGTGTGTGTGTGTTGTTTGTTTGTGTGTGTGTGTGTGTTTGTGCGTATGTGTGTGTGTTTGTGTGTGTGTGTGTGTGTGTCTGTATTTTTGTGTGCGTCTGAGTATGTAGGCTTTTGTGTTTGTATGTCTTCTGGTGCGTGCAGCAGTCACCCTTTCAGGAAGAAACTAGCCTTTATTGATTTCATTATACTTTCCTTTGGCGAGAGAAAAACATCTCTGCCTAATGATTTCTTTCTTACATTCCCATTCTCCCCACAACGAATTGCAAGCTCTCATAGGTATTTCGAAAAGGGGAGATTCGTACAATATAGATGGAAATATACTTTACATGTTCCTGAGGTGTAAAAGCCTCTGTCTAAATGTTCCTTGTAAAAATAAGTGTGTTGTTTAAAACTATGTTTTGATAAACAAGGTTGGTGCTATGCAATGACTTCTCTTTGTGTAACAAACAAAAAACAACTGCCTCCTGCGTCTTGATTTTGGATGACTTTTGTCCTTTTTCATTCATTTGTGTGCATTAATTTACATTGGAATTTCATGCTTGTCTTTCTGTTTCAATTACATTTTTAAGAAGATGTTTTAGCTTGTTTTTTTAATGAGATGTTAAAAATTTGTAGACCTATGTGAGGGTTGGAGTAAGGGTACGTTTTGGCGCCATTTTATGTCCATTTGCACAACGAGAGAGAGAGAGAGAGAGAGGGAGAGAGAGAGAGAGAGAGAGAGAGAGAGAGAGACAGAGAGACAGAGAGAGAGAGAGAGAGAGACAGAGACAGAGAGAGTGAGAGAGAGACAGAGAGAGTGAGAGAGATACAGAGAGAGACAGAGAGAGACAGAGACAGAGACAGAGACAGAGACAGAGACAGAGACAGAGAGAAAGAGAGTCAGAGAGAGAGAATGAGTTCTCCTCCTCTTTCTCCTCCTCCACCTCCCTCCTCTTTCACCTCCCTCCCTCCCCTCCTTTCTCTTCCTCAATACCACCTTCACCCACTCCTCTTATCAAACCTCCCCCTTCTTCTTCTATTGCTATTGTCATCAAGCGATAAGTAGATTCTGTGTATTTACATACTACATTTTAATTTACCTCCAATGAGCCTGCCTATGTATGTGTGCGTGTATTGGTGTGTGTGTCTGTGTGTGCGTGAGAGAGAGAGAGAGAGAGAGAGAGAGAGAGAGAGAAAGAAAGAGAGAGAGAGAGAGAGAGAGAGAGAGAGTATGTGTGTGCGCGCGTGTGTGTTTGTGTTTGTGTGTGTGTTTGTGTGTGTGTGTGTGTGCGCGTGCGCACGCGTGTGTATGTGCTTTTTTCCCCACAAGTCGATAGAAACGCACTAAGCTGTCAGTGGTTTCAAAATAAAGATTTTGTTTTACAATTTCATAACGTAGTGTGTCGTCGTTCATTTTATAGTTGACATACTGATAATAGTGACAGTCGTAAAGGTGGTGAGGTTGGTGAGGATGGTCGGGGTGCTGAGGATGGTGAGGATGAATATAATGAGGGTGAATATCGTGATGGCGAATATTAAAAGGGTTAATGTGATGAAGGTAGTGGGGGTGTTGAGGATGGTGAGAATGAATATGGTGAGGGTGAATATGGTAAAGGTGAATATCATGAAGGTTAGTGTGTTGAAAGTAGTGAGTGTTCTGAGGATGGTGAGGGGTGTCTGGATCGTGAGAGAGGTGAGTTGGGTGAGGGTGGTAGGGATGTAAGGGTGTTGATGGTGGTGAGGATGTTAAGGTGTTGAGAGTAGTGAGGGTGCTTAGAGTGGTAGGATGAAAGGTTGAATGTTGTGTTGCGTTGAGGGGGTGAGGGGTGAGGATGTTGAGAGTGAGGGGGATGAGGGAGGTTCGAGTGATAGGATGAGAGGGTGAGTGTGGTGTGGATGTTGAGGGGGTGAGGAGTGAGGGTGTGGAAGGGGGGGATGCGGTGTGGGTAATGACTAGGGTGAGGGGGCGGTGATGAGGTAAGGGGTTGATGTTGGGTGGCTGGGAGGGGGATGGCGATGATGGAGAGGGCTTGGGGTGAGGATGGAGAGGGATAAAAGTGGTTGAGGATGGCATTGTTGAAGGTAAGTGCGAACCATCAGGTTTGCCGCCGGTCAAGTTGCTATGCAGGGCCCGTACAGACACAGACGAGTGCGTCTGTCAGAATTGACGAGTGGTACGTTGTTGAACGTGCATTCCGCGGATGTATAATAATATATTATTATGAAGATTCTCGATAAACCTCATGGTCTTGGTGACTCAAAACGACAAAGCATGTCAGATAGAACTTTGCAAACACATCCACCAAAACCTTCAGGTCTCTGGGATGGCTGCTTTGTTGTGTAGCCAAATTAGACTGCCCACTGCCCCCCCCCCCCTTTCCATGTTGGGTCTGTGTACTCGTGAGCCCGGTCCAGTTTGAAAATGGACCCTTGAAAATCTTTCAGCCACACCCCTGGTCGTATGGTAGGTATGATCTACACCTAGCCCTCTCGGACAAGGGTGAAAAATATTGGAGGTCCCGTATGCATCTGTGCAAGTTGCACACGTTAAAGATCCCTTGGGGGTCCAAAATCGATAAGAGTAGGCTTCGGCCGCCACCTGGGGAAATTTTTTAAAATAAACTATTCCAGCTAAAAATGTTTGGTGTGTCCCACGAGCTCATATGACCTTATGCAGTTGCGAGCACCGTGGTACACTGACAAAAAAATTAATACATGTCAAGTGCGATTTTCCTTGTTAATAGTAACAGAGTGACGCGCTGATTATAACATTCGAAGTGCCTCTGGCGAGTCATTTTTCATTTCCCCCTTCTGTTCATTCTTTTGGGAGGGTTCAAGGTGTGTGTGTGTGTGTGTGTGTGTGTGTGTGTGTGTGTGTGTGTGTGTGTGTATGTGTGTGTGTGTGTGTGTGTGTGTGTGTGTGTGTGTGTGTTTGTATTTATAACTTAGGGTTGGGGTGTCTGCAAAAAGAAGAATGAAGAACAGGAAGGGAGAGAAAGAGAAGTGATACATGAGTAGGAGGAAGATAATAAGAAAAACGGGGAACGACATGGGAGAGGGGAGATATTTTTTTTAAAGGCAGAGAGTTGCAACAATATGGAGGGTTTTTATGAGGGAGGGGGGGGGGTAGTTAAAGAGACGTGTGGGTTTGTGCACACAAGTGTGTATGTGGGTGGAAATTTTGGGGTATAGAGGAGTTGTATGTGTTTAGTCATGACACGGTGTCATTCACGTGTCTTTGAGCTGATATCAGTTAGTTCAACTTGCCCTGTATAAAGACAGTAGACAACCGGACTGGCAAACCCTTTCCTTGAGGAAATCGACTACAATAGGAGCTGAAAGTTCAGCTGAGGCTTTTCCTTCCTTAATTGTCTGTGTGATTCTGCCCTTCAACACGGTTTGGACTACTGCTCTTGGCTTGTGGTTTTTGTTTGATCGTACTTCCGACTAACATGTGAAGGCGGATTATCAAAAACTGGTAACAGAAGTCTTATTGTGTCTCATTGCAAGTTCTCGCGTGAGGAGAAGATAATACAGTTAATCCAAGAACGTTTGTTGAATAATTCACAGGTGAGTTAACCACTGGGGTGGAATTCCGCAACCAGCGCCCATTTTGAAATAGAGTATAGGTTAGGGAGTTTAGTGTTAAGGCCAGGGTTATGGGTAGGGGAGTCAGGGTTAAGGTTAGATCTCTTCTTCGTTTGTTGGGGGATTCGGCCGTTAAAGAAGTTCTTTCGACCACTGTGGTGATACAATGACTTTACTGTAAAATTACATATCGTTATATCCTAACAGATCAGTTTTGAAGCGAGCTGTTTCGACACGCGAGAGCGAATACTTTCATGTACTTTATTTCTGTTATTTTTCTCTATTTTTCTTTTTTTATTTGGGATAGTTTTTGTTGATTTTTGTGTAACATTATTTTGTTTACGTATAAAATAAACATCGCATCATTTTAATTATCTATCTAATTTTTTTTTAAGGGGGAGGGGGGGGGATCGGTATAGTCTCTTTCAAAACGTATGGTATATCACGTTGAAGGTTGGGTACACCTAAATAAGCTCACAACTAGCTCACTGTGCCGAGGGACATTGTGATCAGTAGAATGCATGATATTCTTTTTCAGTATAGTTTTTACGCCCCCAGTGCACACAATTTAGATCATTTAGGAGAGAGACGTCTGACCTTGCCTGTTAGGACCAAGCCGGTGTGAGAGGGATACATCGTCCCAGCAAAAAATCCTCAATTACTCGATGAAAATTGTTCCTCCCACTCAGTACTCGAACTCGGGTCTCCTGTGTGAGACAGCGAAGCGCCTAACCGCTACACCACAGACGCAGATAATGACGGGTATGGTTTTGAAACGGTTTACCCTGGTGTGGCCTTGCCTGCACAGAAGTAATCCCTTTTCAGTGCTATGTGTCACGACGCAGTGGAATCAGGCTCTCGTCAATGTTTGTCCTGTGACGTTATTGGTATCATCGCTCAGAGCCTGTGGACATTTTATTTTCTTAAAACTTGTTCAATTATTTTGCTTTTGATATTTAAAAAATTACCCATCCATCTTGAGCAGGAGTCGAGATATGTGCTATTGACGGAGATGGGGGTCACCGGGTTTAAATGTTTTAAGTCGGGAGAAAATGGCCACCGAAATTGGGTGACTTCCATAGTTTGAGATACCTTGGAAATTGAAAAGTTACATTTTGTGTGCCTTAGAACACGCTTTCCAATAAAAAGCACTGAGAAATGTTTTCATTTTGGACATTAAAGGCGTTGAGTAAAAACAAAAAATTCTATAAAATTGCCAACCCGGCGGAAAAATGCTGGCTTCTTCGATTTCACTATTTCGATGAGGGCCTGATTTCACCACGATGTCTCACATATGGCTATCTAACACTGGATTTCTGAATATAAAGTCAGTCTCTGTTAAAACTGGCCCACATGGAAGGAGAACTTATATGGCTTCGTTCCTATTGTTTACTCGGTTTTGTTCAAAGAAGAATACAGTCACACAAAAATAGTGCTGGGTTGACTTGAATACAGAGGCACAACTAAAAGGTTTGTGTTGATCTGTAAATTATGGTCAACTTCTTACTTAAACAACAGGGTAAACAGACTGGGCAAGTGAGAGAGATACATCTACACCCCTAGTCTACCCTGGGACATTTTCCATCTGTGGTTGGTTGGCGGGTGCTCTGCTACTTTCCAATCAAATATCTTTCGCCTTGATCTCTCGTTCTTTTTTGTTTGTTACTCTCTTGTAACACCTAATCTTCAGCACTTGCATGATCTTATTGTGTTACGAGTACCCTAAAACTCTTACTAAAAAGCAAAAAAAAAAATCATAACTAATTTTCAGCAAGGACCCACTCTACTCGCAGCAGCAAGCAGGCGATCAGCAGCCCCCAACACTGTTAGCAGCGATGAATGCTGCCCCTGGAGAAACACCGGGAACAGCAGAAATATCGACAAAGGCGTAAAAGAAAAAAGGGGCAGGCTGGATTTGAATGTATATGTGTGACATCATCTAGTCGGATCACTGAGAACACAGTATTAATTGCTCTGGTCGTTTTTTGGAGTTTTTTCAGTAGTTGGTAAGTGCATTAATGTGTTTAACAGAAGAGCTTTTAGTCTTTTCTTGTGGGTGACCGATGGGTGCTCAGGGGTGGTCTGCTCCTTCTTTCCAATCAAACATCTATGGTTCTGATCTCTACTCCCTTTTGCGTCTGTTACTCTCTAGTAAACCTCTAATATTCAGTACTTAAATGACCTTATTGTTGCAAATGCCGTAAAACTCTTACTAAAACCCCAAAAAAATAAACAAACCAAACTTGCTCAGGGGCTCCAGTGGCTAAGTGAGTAGTGAGTTTTGACTCCAGAAATGTCAAGCAAGTGTCGGTGACACGGGGATCAGATGGGTGGTCACTGGAGTGTGTCCTTGAGCAAGACACGACAACCCTAGCTCAAATTACAGGGCGCTGCACAGTGGCGACCGACAGTGGCATTGTTAGTAAACTGTTCTGTATTTGTGTAATAGTGTGTATTTATGTATGTATTTATGCATGTATGTATTTACGTATGTACGCATTTATAATTATGTATCTATGTATGTATGTTTGCCATTGTAAAACAAAGTGCCCTTCTGGGACAAATAAAAGTGTAATTTATTTATTTATTTATTATTATTATTATTTATTTATTTGGCTCATCTAACTGCTGCATGTACTTGTGCGAGACACTTTTATCCTGCAGTGGCCAGCGAAGTCCTACTTACTGGTTATGTCTCAGTCGTGGTATTGTGCATTATTATGCTACGTTGGCGAAATATTGTTGTACGTAGATATTTATATATGTTCGTACGCCCAAGTAAACAAAAGCCGGCGTCTGTTGTGCAGCGGTTCGGTCATTCGCCGTCGTACACTGAAGACGCGAGTTCTATTCTCGAGTGGGTACCTGGATACCTGGAGGTGTCATCTCTGACTCAGAGGTTGACGTGTAATGACCCTCCATCTGTCACGGTCGCGAGCTGCGGTTGCACATTCTGCCATATCCAACCCCGTCCATATTTTTATGTTGTCCATCCATGTTATTCTTTACCTTCCTCTGGCTCTCTTGCCCCACATCTTTCCCTCAAGTACCTCTTCAACAATGGTCTCGTTTTATAAAATGGCCATAGTATAATATTTTTCTACATTTCATTTTGCTCAGCAGGGTCTGTCTTGTGTGTTGAAATTGACACACCTCTTTGCTTGTCTTTGTTTTTTGTTTTTCAGCTTATTCTGGCCATTCTACGGTAACACATCTCAAACGCGTTTATTCTGTGTGGGTTTTTTTTCTTTGTCAAAGTCCAGGTCTCTGCACTGTATAGGAATGTGGGGAAGATGTAGTGGGTGGCTTTCCTTTATTCAAGTATCAGTCTGGTTGAACATTGCACCCTGTTTAACTAGAGTTGGCCCTGACAGACAAGGTCGAAGCAGCCAGCTTCCTACCTCATCTTTGTGTTGATGGAGGCGTAAAACATTAAAATTTACTGTTCCCACCCCAACCTCAGGAATAAACAAACGCAGGAAGTAATTTCTTTCTTTTTTGCTGCAAGAGAAAGGAAGGGAAAGGGAGGGCGAGAGAGGGAGAGAGAGAGAGAGGGGAGGGAGAGGGAGGGATGAGGTCGAAGGAAGGAGGGAGTGAGGGATGAGGTCGAAGGAGTGAGGGAGTGAGGGAGAGGGCGGGGGTTGGATAAAGATAATATTATATTGATACCGTTATCTTTTTTTCCTCAGATTTAACAATGGACAAGGAGATTGCGATCATTGCGTTAGGAGCCATGGTCTTTTGTGGAATGGGCGTGGTATGCACCCTGATGTGGCTGCATAGACGGACATCTGAAGGAGTGGAGAATGATTGTGACACGGACACTTCGATAACTTCCTCGGTGGATTCTCTTACAAAGCAAGACTGATGATTAACATTCGAAATTGTTTTGAAGTGGAGCTACACGTTGACAGAGGAACAAAGTACGGATGAAAAAAAAAACGTTTTTGGTTTTGGAACGTATTTGTCCATTTTTTCTCATAAAACAATATGCAAGGGTATACAGGGGACAAAAAATCATTCCACGCCGTTGGTTGGGGGGGGGCGTAGGGAACTTAAATAAAAGAGACGCACCTATATGTGTTAAGGAGAGCATGTTATTAAATAATGCTGGACTTACATTTTGATGTTTTGTTGAGATACATTTCTTTGATATTATAACAATATTCCGTGGCTTTTTTTGTATTAGTTGCTGGTGTTACTTCATTGCTTTTACTGTTCTGTTGGAAATTGCACAGCATTATTAAACGCCTAATATGTATACATAATACATGATCTGATGCTCTCTTCCTTCTGCGGGTAGAAGGTGCCACCGGTAGGTTCTACTTCTATTGTGGGTGGTTAGCGGGTGCTCTGGTGTGGTTTGCTTCTTCTTTCCTATCAAACATCTATCGGTGGGTGGTTGGTGGGTGCTTTGGTGTGGTTTGTTGCTTCTTCTTTCCTATCAAACATCTATCGTCCTTATCTCCCCTCCTTTTTTGTGTTTGTTACTCTCTTGTAATACCTCTAATCTTCTGGCGCTCATATGACCTTATGCAGTTGCGAGCGCCGTAAAACCTCTACTAAAACAAACAAAAACATCTATCGCCTTTATCTACCCTCCTTCTTTTTTGTGTTTGTTATCCTCTTGTAACACCTCTAATCTTCGGCACTTATATGGCCTTATTGTGTTGCAAGTGCGTAAAACTCTTACTAAAAAAAAATACTTCTATTCTTCCCTCTCTGTTATGTCTGTTCGTTCTGAGCATTGTTGTGCCTCCCTTTACTCAATAAACATTTCTTCCTCATTTCTTTTATCATATTATTGTCTTAAATTATTGTCTATTATATTTATGTTTCCCTACCTCCCCCCCCTCTCTCTCTCCCTCTCTCTCTCTCTCTCTCTCTCTCTCTCCCTCTCTCTTACCCTCTATCTCTAAATCTCTCTCCATCTCTCTCTCTCTCCATCTCTCTCTCTCCATCTCTCTCCATCTCCATCTTTCTCTCCATCTCTCTCCCTCTCCATCTCTCTCCTCTCTCTCACCCTCACCATCTGTCTCTATCTCTCTTTCTCTTTCCCCATCACCCTCTCCATCTCTCTCTCACCCTCACCTTCTGTCTCTATCTCTTTCTTTAACCCCCCTCACCCTCACC